TTACTGAATACAGCCTCCAGTCCACAGTTGGCAACAGTAAAAGGAAAGGTTTTTCACACATTGTGTCATGACCCAAGGGTGTGAAAGATATAACCCTAAGGTGTGAAGGGGTTTAAAGCTGAGCAAGCTGCAGGCATTTAGAGGGATAGGTTACGTTTTCTATTTTAGAGCAGGCTGCAGTGCAGGTTGCAGTCCTTAACCCACCAAAAAATAGATAGATTTTGTGTCCAATCAATAAAGCAAACAAGAAGTACATTATGAAGGATCAGCTGCCTTGCAATTTGTGATCACGCCAGATATGGCATTTCAGCACTAATCACTGCAATGACATTTAGAGAGTTACCCTCAGCAAATGCAAATCTTATAACACTGCTTACAGCAAGGACAGTTCTTCTTGACTGTGCTTTTAATGCACTTTTTAGTCTTTTTTTTGTAATAAAACATGTTTTAGTTCATCAGAAAACTATCAGCAAATTGTCTTTAAAGGAGCTGTATGCGACATTCACAGCATTATTATAGCAGTAAACCATTATTTGCTATGTAAGAATGTAGTGAAGTAATGGGGTCCTCAGGGTGGGAACTACAGGGAAGGCAGTGCAAGGCAATTTTGCCATGCATTTCTATTTTCCTGTATCTTCATCATTATAGGTCATGTGTAAAATTAGGCTATTATTGATGATTGTTGTTGAAGACACTGGCATGCTTTTGTTGCCATGACCATTGAAGCGTTGACGCCGTACTTATGGTGTAGGCGCTGCGTCGACGTAGATTCTATGCTGTATCCTACACCATAGCCTGACGTTCACCTCCACAGAAATATGACTAGGCCTACACATCGCGGCAACGCAGACCTCCTGCCTATTTTCGGAAGCTGAAACCATTTCCCTCAGTGGAAACAAAGCTTTTATTTACTTTTATTTCACAGATAAGAAACAATAAATTGTGAAGACAATAAAGCCTCCACAAAATAGCATTTTATGTCTTGTGTGTGATTTATCCTGGCTTCATATGAGTGGAGGAAATTTCTGCTACTAGCTAGGCTAATTTATACAATGTAAAATGCCATAGGCTTGTGCTAATAACGTTAGCATGTTGTATTTGTTTGGAAAATGTGTCTAGTATAAGACAGATGTTTTGTAGGTCAAACTTGTGAGTTGTAATGGAGCCAAATTTTGTAACGTTACATTTGTTAAATGTTGCTTTCATAATGTTCCTGGGGAAAAGTCCCCTAGTTTGTACAATGTAAAATGCCATAGGCTTGTGCTAATACATTGGCATGTTGTATTTGTGGGAAAAATGTTTCCAGCAAAAGACAAGTGCTTTGTCTGTGAATGCTGCGAGTTATAGTGAATATTCTACCACCAACTAGTGGTTTGGAGCGTTTACACTTGTAAACTAGTGGTTTACAAGTGTAAACGCTCACAATGGCGTACGCTCTGCATAGAGCTGACACACAAGTATAAATCCCGTGTTAAATCAACTGCGACAAGCTTACAAGGGCCGACAAGGGCCAACAGTGTGGGGAAACCACAAAAAAATGTGGATATAAAGTGCCACCCCACGAATAACATCACACATGGCAAGAGACTTCTGGGCAGAAGAAGTACTCCAGGCTGTGATGGTAGAGGTTCAACGGATGCTTAATTGGAAACCACATCTCTCATTATCAGATGTGGCTGACCCGGATCTAGTGAGTGACCCCCGACACCTTGCTCATGGAGTGGCCGGACTACTCTCTCCTACAAGTTTAGTATCCAGAGTCAGAGTTAATTGGGAAAGGAGATGGTGTCTAGAGGTGTTGGCCAATCACGTCAGGAAGCACTCTCTCAAGGATATTTCTCCTTTTTCACCTTTAAGATCCCACTGAGTTCTCTGGAAATAAAGCATAGGAGCTAGGAACATTAATTTCCACTCCCAGGGGCAACGGAAATGAGACCCTGGATCTGAATGACACATATAGCATTGCGTCACAATCATTATTAACATGTTTTTATGATGATGTTAGCTTTTTCAGGAATGCTTTGTTTAGTGTCAGAGGGTGTCATTTCTGCTGGAGAATCAAAGCCCTGAGTAGCAGCTGGATGATATCGAAAAGGAGGACATCTGCCGTCAGCACAGACTCCACAGTGGCTCAATATCCACCAGTTCACAACCAGGCAAAAAGGAAAAGGTCATGACACCATTTAAAAAGGGTGCCATCAGAGAGGTCATTTGTGAGGAGAAATTAATATTGATGTTTATGTGGATAATTATTGTAATTCACTTAAAATGCATGCCATTAGTGCATTAGTGTTGGGGAAAGTGGTGCTGGTTATTACAGGCTTACTTATCACGTTGCTGGTTAAAATGCCCCGTCACTTCTGAATAACATCAATATCCATATTCCATCAAAGCAGCTTGAATCCCCCCATTATGAAAGCCTTTACAATGGGGTCTGACCTTACATTCAGCATTTGGCAGACAAGTAAAAAAAAAAAAAAGCCACGATGCAATCTGGTTTCATTCACAGGGAAACTGTTGTTGATGTACCACCAACTGTTTCTGTCCCTGTTGCAGTAATTATGGTAAATGGACTGCACTTATAAAGCCCTTTTCTACCTTAACAGACAAAGAGCTTTACAATTTGCCTCTCATTCACAGATACACACACTCACACACCAGTGTCCACAGACCTGCCATGCAAGGTGCTGGTCTGCCCGTTGGGAGCAACTTGGAGACAGTGTCTTGCCAAAGCACATGTTGACATGGTGGAGTTAGGAATTAAACCACCAACCATGTGATTAGTGGAAGACCAGCTTTACTTCCTGAGCCTTTTGATGAGGGGCACTTATGGTGTATTTATTTTTCTGAGGCTTCTACTGAACAGCTTCACTTCTCAGCAATCATGAGAGCAGGGACTGAAATAATTGGCGGCATGAGTCAGAGCTGATCAACATCACTGTCTCAACAAGTTTCACAGGGCGCTAAAGAGTGATACAGGTGATCCATTTTCATAAGTATATTTCAATTTAAGATTTTTATGTTAAAGGAGCAGTGTTTAAGATTTAGGGGGGTTTAGTGGCATCTAGTGGTGAGGATTGAAGACTGCAGCTGAAACGTCTCCCAGCTAGAATTCCTTTAGTATTCATTGTTTAGGAGGTTTTTATCCGGCACCTGTGTGCTCACCTATTTTTTCTGATTACTTGATGTGTGTTTTCCTTATTCAAAAAGTTTTTACTGTAATTATCTGCAGGGATTCTCCTTTCTCCTAAACAAAATGGACCAGGGGTCTCATTTATAAAACATTATGTAGGATCCATATTAAAAATATACATGCAGACAAAAGCAGAAAATTATGTGTACAAAAAAATATTTAGATTTATAAAACTGTGCATACGCCTGACAGTGTGCAATTTCCCTTTATAAATCCCAAATCAACTTGGAATTGTCAGCATGTGGCTCCACCTCATATTCTACACGCCCACATTCAACTGTAAATGGTCAATGCAAAGCACCTCATGAAGGCTGATGCCTAGAAATGAGCCTGCTGATCAATGGGATTTTACAGGGGTAAATCACAACAACACCAGTGCTTATATGTTTACAGCAATAGACTGATTGCTTCACACTGTACCAAAATGGTCGTGACAATCAGTACAGTATATAGCCTACCCTGGGATATCATTTAAAGATGGAAGTTTGATTATTAACACTATTTATTTGTCTATCTATCTAAGTTTGTTGTGGTGATCTTGGCCTGTATTATGATTATGACTCAAAATGATGACATGGAGTGTAATAATTGTGTGAGAGCTAGCGCCGGCTTTATTTCCAGACTTTACTAATTCACACAATCCATAGGTGGTGAGGATGTATGTAGGGTAACTAGAGAAGAAAAAGTGTGTGGCAGCCACCACAATGTCTCCGATGTGCTCTGTGCACACACAGTCGTGTTCACTGCAGTGATTTTACACACAAAATCATCTGAAAACCTTAATCGTACTTGGTGATATGTATGTACAGCACTGGAAGATACTGTTGGAAACTGTTGATGCTCTGTTATGACATCATTAAATGCTATTTGATGTGCACTCCACCGCAGACCACGAGTGTCAAGTGCATCCCTCTTCTCTGCATTCTCGGGGGTGATGGTGAGACAGAGCTGATGAAATAATGAGCAGAATTCAAGGTGAGATTTGAGTCATGTGCAATTTTTAAACCTGAAAGGTGTTTCTGGAAAAGTAATGGCTGACTAGCTTAAACACTAATAACACCACTGGTGATTCAGTGGATCTATAAGTAATGTGTGATATGCCTGGTACCTGTTAATGTATGCTCACATTTTTTATTTAATAATTTAGGATCCAGACATTCAGGGAGTTTTTACTGGGAGCAGAGTTATCCACAGAGAGCTCTTCCTCTCCAAAACAAATGGACTCAGTGCTTTAAACCCATAAAAACACTGAATAAAGCAGTTTCACATTAAAAAAAAATTTGTTGTTTTCCAATACTGCTCATACTCATTCGAAGGTTTAAAAAAACCCAAAACAATGATTCTCATATTCTTATTTGTAGGTGATTATCCACTAAAGAATATATAATCTATACCAATATATCTCCCTACATCCCCCCATACACACAGGCACACACAATTTTAAAATTAAAATCTGTTTTACCAATCAAAGGTGACAAAACCTGTAGAATGGGTCCTAAATTGTGTTGTTTTTATATTTAGTTTAATTTTAGGTGTTAACGATTTGGACAATGAAGTCAGTGATGTCAGTCTTACTTCCTGAGTTTGATGAATGCAAGGAATTTCAATATAATATTCATCTAAACTATATTACTTGCATATAAAAAATGACTTCATGAAAAAATAAGACAAGATTTGAATAGAATAGAATGAATATAAATTATTCTGGCATTCATCAGTTTGATAGATTTCTGTGACCAAGGGAGGTGGGGAATGATGACAAACTGATCATGCGCCTGTCTCACTTTGTTTACCTAAATGTCGGCCGGCCAGGACAGCTGGGTTCATTTACCCTGGGATCGCTGAGGGTGAACCATTCCAAAACACGCAAACTATCTGGGGACTGTGAAGCCAACATGAGCAGGTGAGTGTCAGTTAGCATTTATTTAGTGCAAAAATAATCCTTGAAACTGCTGCCGTCAGACCTAATTTTGCCCAGTGGGTGCTGTGTATTTGTCCTGTTCTCCCTCCTCCATGTCTCGCTGAGTGTGGAAATGACAGGGTTATATGGCAGCTTCACCTCACCCAACTTCCCCCAGCCATACCCTGACAACCAGCTCATAGCGTGGAACATCACCGTCCCAGATGGCCACAGGGTCAAACTCTACTTTAGCCACTTCAGCATGGAACCCTCATACCAGTGTGAATATGACTACATCCAGGTAACATGCTGGAGAAACACCAGCTCCCATTATCTGCACTGGAGTCTAACACTTGCTCACTAAAAGGCCTCTGACCTTGTCAAATTAGGTTTTGGCAGAGGGCAATGAAACCTTGCGGTTCTGTGGCGAGGGAGAGAAGAACTATGAAAGCACCCCGAGGAACACCATCATCCTGTCAGCCGGGAACCTCATGTCAGTGGTCTTTAGGAGTGACTACTCTAAAGAGGGCCGATTCACGGGCTTCCAAGCATTTTACACCGCAGAAGGTGATGCAGAATAGTGACACTGGTTGCCAGAAGGCAGATACATTTTTGGTAGATGTAATTGCACCAAGAGTTTTTAGAGAAATGAGAGCAGGATTATATCATCACAGGTAGGCCTATATACAGGAACATTTAGAATTTTTAGATTTAGAAAGGAAGAGGAAAGACTCCAGCATAAACACAGTAGTGACAAAACAATGGCAAACTATATTAATAAAGTACCACAGAAGCAGTCGCCAGAAGAAAACAGTGGCATTGTACATTTCTGCAAACCAGGAATACATTATATTTGTACGTTTCATACATATCATATCAGTGATGTAGCATATGAACTGACTTTTTGATCCGGAAGAGGAGGGGATGGTGTGACACCTGGGCGAGATACCTGCCAAGCTGCAGAACACTGAAGACCACTGTTTGACACCAACAAACAACAATTCAGTCAGGAACACTTTAGTCAGACAAACTTTATTTCCATTTGCAGTATTATATTTGGTGGTTTGGCTCTGTTCTGGGACTTTCTGCCTTATCTCGGGCCTATGCAGAAAGCCTCTTCCACGCATCTATGTGGAAAGCCACGTGTAAACGAGGAAAGCCTGAGGCAGAGAGAGCAAACCTCACTGCCCTTCCATGTGCCTACATGGAAAGCCTAAGGCAGGGAGAGCAGCAGCAAAGACCCCCAGAAACAGAACAGAGCAGCATCAATGACAAACAGAAATTACACTGATAAGTCAGACACAGCATGAAAAGGAGGAGCTGGAGTGGAGGCGGGTTGCAAAGCGGCTTGCAGAGGAAGCAGCAACAGTAGACAGGCCAGAGCAGTTTTTGTGGGGCGCTCTGAATGAGATTCACCAACTGGTTGCATAGAAAGGAATCATGATCTATCAGCTGTCTCTCTTCATCAATCAGCTGCTCCATCCGGCTGTTTTTCCACTGGGGACAGTGCCACAAAAAGGCTGTTGTTTTTTTGTACCAAGCCATCACTACTTTTCTAGCGGGGATTTTGCCAGCAAAACCAATTCTTTTAAAAAATAGCCTATCTGCAATTTCTGTTTTCGTGCAATTAATACTTTTCCAAGTTATACTCTTTTAAATTGGATGTAGCCGTCACACCTCGGAGCCTGCTGCAGCACCTTAACTGTTTAATGTATTATCATGTTTAGTTTTTGTTAGTTAAGATAAACCAGATTCAACTGGTGTCTGCTTCAGTTTAAAAAAGCAGTGGTGACACACACACACACACACACACACACACAAACACTCAGGAAAGATGCAAATTAAAAAAGTAATCATACATTATCTGACTGGGTTTAGGCACATTTAGGATTTACATTATTTAAAGACACTTCCACTTTCCCCACTTTAAATATGCTCATGGAAGAAATAATACTGTCTCTGTCTCATACAGACATTAATGAGTGTCAGTCCGAGATAGACGGGGAGAAAGTGTGTGATCATCTCTGCCACAATTACATCGGCGGATATTATTGCACATGCAAACAGGGATACTTTCTCCATGACAACAAAAGATCCTGCACAGGTAAGAGCCACGTGACTTAAGCTCAAGAGTCATGTTTATGAATGAAAGTGAGTCAACAGCAGTATGTTGAGGTTCAGTGTTAAGAGCTTGGCTCACAGCCTTTGACTGTTTATTGATCCCTGTAGATACATTACATGGTGTTTCCCAAGCCAGACTCACTGCTGCTTAGCTCCTCACCACTGGAAAGAGCAGATATTGATGACAATAAAGCAAAGCAATTTCCATTAATGTGCATTGACTTGTGTATGATGTATTTGGCTTCACTATATCTTAATTCCACAGCATTTCTTGATTATATAATCAAATAACGGCCAAGTCTTTCAGTTGGCACAATTTGTCAGTGTGGTGTTGAGGTGTTAAAATTACAAAATGCTGCTAATTTCAGACTTTTGGCAACAAGTGTGAATACAAATTAGATCAGATCGCTGTGCTGTGTACTTGTAATTAAACCTAATTTTTGGAAGAAAAGGCAATTTGTCTTTCAAATTATTCCCTATATTTCACAGCACCGCAGAACAAATCTTCAAAAAAACAATTTTCTGACATTTCACACAGGGCACACGGTTGATAATGTTCCAGATTGGATTTCATTCCATCATGGCTGGCCCGTGCTAACTCATTTCAGGCTGAAAAGGCACACTGATGCATAGAGTAGTTGATCTCTGCCAGCTGGTGTAAGGCAAGGTTAATTACTGTCGATTCCTAAGGGAAAAGCAACTTCAAAATGACATTAAAAATTGATACCTGTGTGCAGCACAAATAGTGTACTGACACTAGGTAATTAATCACAATTACCATTTGATGTGCCTTAAATTATTATTCTTTGCCAGAGGAAAAAGGGTGACAAAACAAATCATGCAGTGAATAGGCAAAGAATGATTATCTGCCTACAGATTGTGCTAATTATATGAATTACAGGAACTCAGCCTCTTTGCGATACTCATTTGTTTTAGTCTGTAACAACATCTGTACACTTGCCGGGGCAATAACGCAAAACTAAATGAATCCCATCTTTTATTATGCCACGAAATGCCTCAATTGATGTGAGAAAAATATTTTCTTCAAAACAAAAAACTTTTTCATAGCCATTACGTTATTGCTGCAGGTAGATCATAAGACTTGTTCATAAGTATTCAAATTAACATACAAGCTCTTTGAACTCGAAGGAGTCAACATATAACATGCCTCAAAATGTTTAAATTGGAATTTAATGAGTCTTCCCGACAGTGCCTTGCCACAGCCAGGTGTTGACCAACCTGTCAGGGGTTCTGACCAGTCCAGGCTACCCGAGCCCGTACCCTCCCATGAGTGAGTGTGACCACACCATCCGTCTGCCGGAGGGCTACAGAATATTCCTGGACTTCCTGCAACCCTTCGATGTAGAGAGACACTCAGATGTCCCTTGTCCATACGATATGCTGAAGGTTAGTCAAATGACTTCCGAACATGACACACACCGGAGGATGAATGAGCAATGTATTCCTGCTCATGCCTGTGGAGGCAGTTTGTTACTGACTTGTCCTCCTTGGGTAATATACTATACGGCCATGTCGTTTCCTGCATAATTAAGTTTGACTGGACATAAATCAGTCAGGCATTTAATGAATCTTCTTGTTTGATGTTCCCCTTTTTACAAGATTTCAACAGCTGGACAAGAGTATGGACCCTTCTGTGGATCAGTGCCACCAGGTCGCATTGACACAGGAAGTTACCAAGTGCATATTTCGTTCAGATCCGATCCCAGTGGGAAAAACAAGGGATGGAAGATCAAGTACACCAGTACCAAGATTAAAGCCTGATGGCTTGTTGACATAAACGTTGGATACAGAAGGACTGGGAGCAACATTATCAACCTTTTCTGCTCCAGCTTTATGTTTTTATTTTTATCCTTTATCAACTCTTTCTATCTTGATTTCATGATTATTTCTGCTTGACCTCTGACATTACATGAAAGGATCCCCATGAAAGGGTGGTGGGAGGTGGCAGCAGTCAGTACCACACATCTGTCTTACAGTGTAGGTAACTTATTCACAATTTTGGGGCCTTGTCACCCCCAATCAGATGGGCTGTTCCAACATCAAGTGCGTCACGGCCACAAGTATTTTTTTCCTATAGTCATACTCTGCCTTTTTCTGCCTCTGATTGGCTTACCCTAGTGTTCTTACCCTAATCCTAACCAATCTCACTCCTCTTGCCGAAACCTAATCAAACCAGCCAACAAATGGAATAAATACTGGCCAACCAGAGGGAGAGTAGGAAGGATCATGGGAAAAAAAACTTTCTTTTTTTCCCCCCACAATTTTTTCCCACATTGCTAGTGGTAGCTTTGCAGCCCAGTAGGTGGGCCAGCCCATCTGACATTTGCCCGACTTGCCAGATTGCCAGTCTGAGCATGACAGTATGTGTACCTATATGCTATCTGAAAATATTACACAAGGACTTTCACATCGTAGCAACCTAATATAATTAACCCTTCACTAAGCCCCGCCCCTTTGTGATGGTCCGTCAAGCTGTCGGAGTAAGCATGAAGCCCACACTGTAACTAACTGCACAAATTTTATCACCTTTTTGGAAAAACAAAAAAGCGATTCCAGAGAGAAGCAGACAGAGGGGTCTACAGTCTGTGTTTGAAGGATATATCCAGGATGTCAAACTGACTCAGCAGCAACAACAGGTTAAAAAGACAGATAGTTTGAAGCTAAAGATGAACTTTCGGCTACAGATCACAATGTAAAAGTGAACCACCACATCACCTGGCCATCTAGACAGAAAACAATGTATACAAAGGAAAACTTTGCCAATATTCAACCAGCTGTGTGTCATCACAGTGTGTGCAAATGTATGGTGTTTGGCCTCCCTTCCGTGCTGATGCCAGCACCCATTCATCTGCACATGCTGTGATGACACATAGCTAGTTCAATATTGACAAAGTTTCCCTGCTTCCCTTTACTGGTCCCTGGAGAGCAGGGTCAGTGTTCATTCAATCTTAGAATCATTAAAAAGCAAAAACGGCACGAGTATACATTCAATAGGTTATATCTTCAGTAGCTAGCTAGCTAACCCTACACTTTTCAGGGTTTGATTTTGGTTTTGGAACAGGGAAGAAACGTATCTTTTTCCAACCTCTCCAGGTAACGAGTATTATTAATACATGACGTGCCCCAGACACAACATTTAGCTCCAAATCCACAAAACCAGCCTGAAAATGAAGGAAATCTGAAACGATTGGTCAGTCTGCATCCGGGGGTGGGACTTAGCGAAGGGTCAATTATACTGTTTGTGATATAGCTTTAATATTGTGTTTGAGCATGAGGCTAGCTGAAGAATTAACCTCATGACACCTTGGAATGACATTGTGACACTAGTGCTACTAAAATACTCTCCAGATTTCAAGGATTTACATTGATTGCATCTAATTTCTAATCTAATTGTCATTGTTTTATTTCTTTGTTTGCTGAGATGCTGTTATAATCTCAACAGCACAATCCTGCTTTAACCTTTTGTGTCTGGTGTGTCATTGTTTTGCTACTTGTGCAAATAAAGTAAAACTCAAAGACTCAAAAGACACTTTTAATTATTAATTTAGACATTTTTTTCTCATCAAAATACTTTATGTTTTTCAACCTGAAGTCATGTAGCTTTTTATTTAAACAAAAAGAGTTTTCCTTAAGGCACTGTAGCTGCATGCAAACCGTTCTGCTCATTTACAGCTAAAGACAGAAACACATTTAATGCTCCGGCAGAAATAATTGAATTCAGTGCAGTATTCTGGGAGTCAGTCCGTCTGGTCCAAGAAGCCGTGAACGTTAGTTGTTTAACCTTCATACATAATGCAGCTTGTTCTCAGCAGTGTCAGCTCTACTCCTCTATCAAATCAGTCATTGTAGGGTTCTTCAGTCCCTTGAAAATACCTCTCATTTGACACTTTTGCATTCGCTTACTAACATTACCTCCATCCACAAGTGAGGCAAAAGAGCACACTTAAAATGCATGGATATAAGAAAGAAATGCACTTGTGCTGATCTATAAACAGTATTTGTTTTGTTTTTCACCTTGTCTCTTAGAATAAGACCAGCAGCACTTTTCTGTGAACCTTTTTAAACCTCATTAAGTTAACTGTGACTGAATAGCCATGCTGCTACATTCATCTTTCTTCGAAGGCCACCACAACTTACATGTAACAAGACAGGGTGCGTACTGACCCATACATCACCTTGGCATTTGCAGCTCAACAGAATCACAAGGCCTTAGGTAGACATGTGTTCTCTGAGAGTCATCTGAAGACATGGGATGATGTTTGTCTCCAGCATGAAATGCCCAGACAGTCCTCAGGGCACCTGGGTGCTTACAGAGCAAACCTGCACTTGTTACCCGTGCACTGTTCAACTCCTAATCTAATCCACCAAGCCAGTGTGACACATGGGCTATCGACTTCTCCCGTACCCCACTCATATCATACTGTTCCGCCTAGTTGGAGCCAATTCCACAGGAATTACGCACACCATGAAACCATTAACCAACTGTTGGAAAAAACCTAACAGCAGCGTGAGGCCAGTCGGCTCAGAGCTAACATGCCCATCACTATTTTGACAGCCCTGCATCACCAACCTGGTCGGCATCACGTGCATGAAGTTTGTCTGAAAAATGTCAAAAAATGTTCTGTTGTTTGTTATTAATGGATATTAATTTATAAATCAGTATTTTAGGGCAGCAGTTCTCAATCTTTTTACATTTAAGGCTCTCCAAGTATCACCATTATGACTGATGCTGAAATACAGTAGCCCAGGCCGACCCTCAGCTACTGGCAGTTAACGCAGGAGGGCAGGTTAAGCCCCTAATCAGAAGATTATTTATTGCTAACCGTTGTCAGTTACAGTCACACAGTGCAAAGGGATAGCAGCAGACCTGGCACTCGCACTAACACATGGAGAGTTTCTATGATTTGAGGACACCGAGGGCTTAGCCTGCACCTCTGTAGGGGGTCTGGGGGCATTTTTTTTTTAATGAACAAGCTCTATTTTGAAGCTTATTTAATGCATTCTGGCATCGTATTTACCCTCAAAAACTGTTTTGCTTGTTTTAAATGATCATTTATTTCCCAGATTAATTATAAATTGTGTAAACACCTATAAATACATCATCATTTTGAGGTGCTTGCACTTGGTTATTTCCATTTTATGCTACTTCATGCTTCCACTCTACTACATCTCAGAGGGAAACATTTTAACTTTATATTCCACTACTTATAGCTGTCTGCTTTAGTTAAAACTTAGATTAGTTATACAAAATATAATCAGCTAAAAAATAATGATGTATAATTACAGATTAAACAACCCAGCAGTATATAAAGCATTTAAAATGAGCTCTACCTTTACCAGTTGCAACATTAAAGTAATTACTGGTGTGCTCTCTTCTCTCTTCTTGCATGCAATTACACAAAAAGAGGACCTAAAACTTTTAACAACAGCATACTAATTTTGAGGGCTTTGATGCATGGACAACATGGCACATTATAAGATCTGGGGTGGGGGTTTTTCAGTCCTAGTCTCTTTTTTTTATTTTTTTTTTTAAATATATATACAGCCTATTTAGATACAGGGCTATTCATAAGACATTCAGGGCTGAAGCCTCGGACACCCAGGCCGAACAGCGCCATTGTCTTCCACACAACTCCTTATACATCCACACTTCTCTCCCTAATAGCTCCTGCTTGGAGCCACAGTTGCACTGTTTTTAAATTATACATTTATCTTCTACTTACTTACATTTATGAATATACCTATATAGCAGGCTGATATCGAAACCAAATATTACATGAAAGGTAAAACGTATTTTAAATTACATTTCAGGATCTCAAGGTTTAAGTGTTTTCATTTGAAATGTTGTAGTATTTTGATAGCATTATACATATATATTAAAATGACTTAACTTATAATTATCTGTCTGTATTATGCACTTTAACAATCATACAAACTTTAGAAGTGTTTTTTGACAAATTGAGTTGTTGTATTAGCTCATAGTTTTATTTCACTGTTTTACATTTTCTAATGCAGGACGAGGCTGTTCGGCAGAGAGTGAAGACTCTGTAAAATAAAGCTTATGTTCAGGTTTTGACTGTGTCCTTAGTCTGCAAGAGTTTTTTAAGTTTGTCTTGTCTAAAGAAAACAATTTAATTTTATTTTCTTCACAGAAATTAGTTAAATGTTGAGATATTACCTCAAGAATACAGTGTTGTATCGGTCAGTAAGATTTGTCAGTCCATAATTCAACATGCATTTAATACTTATTTTTAAAAAGTAGGAAAAGGCACTGTCAAAGGTTTGAGGGTTGGTTTATTTTAGAAAATCCCTCCTACCACCATTCCCCATGTTTATAAAAAGGCACCTTAAATCACATACTGTACAGTCATATACAACTTCCTTTGAAACATTTGTTGTGCATGTTTCAATTAAATACAAAGTTTGAATGTGTTGGAGAAGTGATGCATGACAAATCAGCAGAGTGTCAGCTTACTTTAGGTGAAGCCGCGCGGTGCAGACACATTATCAACGGCAGATCTTGATGAATGTTCTACTTTTCCCTGAATCTAATACTAAAGTACAAGCCGCTGGTGACATCTCAATCTCAACACAACACAAAAAGACGATCCCTCTGCAAATTCATCCACCATCATTTGTGTTCATTGTTCAAGAGACCGATGATGAGATGACAGGCATGACAAAGGCTATCTTCTCCATGACCTATGAGTCACGCAGAGCTACACACATTGTACACACCATCTTACATCACACGGCCACTAGACTGATACATAACTTCTATAATAGTATATCATAGATGTTCTTTAACGAGCTCTCATCCGGAAATATTAGTTCTATGCAGCTCAGAGATAAAGCTATATCATTCTGACACGTCTTCAGAGAAGCTCCCCTGTATGAAGTGATAAATGCTGTCGTACTCTTTGTTAAAGTGATGAATTTGTCTGCGTACCCTTTTTAAAGTTAGCTTTTATACAAATATATTTGGCTGATATTAGCATTTGCATACATCTCAGAAACAAATGTTCTGCCTGTAGTTTCTGTCTCTATAACATAGTGCTATGTTACTTTGTGCCTTGGCGAGAGAGTTTCTGCACTCATCATACCATTTACTGCTCAATGTATAGAGCTGCAAGGATTAATCCATCAATTGCAAACTATTAAATTGATCCCCAACTAATGTAGTACTCATTTAATCTTCTTGAGTAATTTGTTAAGGGAAAAAAAGTCAAAATTCTGTGATTCCAGCTTCTTAAATGGGAATATTTTCTGGTTTCTTCACTCCTCTATGAGAGTACACAGAATATCGTTGGCTTGTGGAGAAATCAAGACATTTAAGGATATCATATTTGGCTTTGGGAAACACTGATTGACATTTTCTACCGTTTTCTTACATTTTATAGATCAAACAACTGTCGATTAATCAATAAAATAACTGACAGATTAATCAACAATAAAAATAATCTTTAGTTACAGCTCCATCCATGTCGAAATTCTGTAAATGGTCACACATCAGCACATGTCACACCAAGTGCACATACCTAAGGACTGTGGTACAAAATGAAAAAGAAAATGCCAAATTTAGGCAAGTGTATACGTACAAAAATATTTATGTTCCCTATAGGGAAAGCTGCTCTCTAAATATTTTCATTACAACTTAGAAATTATGTGATTCCCAGAGTCTACCAGTGCCATTTAAAACTCAGAAATAGGAAAAAACTATAGAGCTGTAGCAGGAACATAACGTCTCAGAACACTGTCTCTTTTTGCAGGAGTCACTGAGGAAGGTAACAAGCAGGAGCAAGTTATGAGGCGTAGGATCGGCCTAGCTGCCAGCTGACTGAAATAACAACACCCTGCTACTCTAAACTTCCCAGAAGATTCCCCTATGCTCAAGATGTAAATGGCAATGTCAATGTAAATATCATTTCAGTGATAGCACTTGTAAAATCTTTCCAGCAGACACAAAATTATATATCCATAGGGTTTCTTTAGCTAGTTAAGAGTACAGTTCAAAAATAAAATGCAGTGCACACCTTTTGTCTGAATTGGAACAAGATGTCACTCAGCTTGTGGTATTCTAAACGCCAAAAAATACATTTGAAAAACTCAACATCAATGTCTCTTTCCACGAATCATGACCCGGTTCTGTTTCCGTCTGCACTGTGATTTGGTTGGTGGGTGTAGATCTGTAGAAAGGAAATAGTTCCCACATGAAACTGCTCACAAGGTCTGCGGATTGTTTTAAGTGGCATAATAACTGGGTGTGATCGGGTTCTGGAAAGAGACACTGTTAAGTTTCTCAAATGAAGGGAGACATCTTTGCGGTCGATATTGCCAACACTCAACAACTCTCACCAAAACAATCATGACTGATATATGGCACTACAGTTAACAGGAATAAATGTGTATTTTTGATATTGGGGTGGAGTGTTACTTTAAGGGGAAGCAGAATGTAAACAATAAATCTGGGAGATGATTCAACAATATCAGTTAATATAAAACCTTTATGCAATAAATCAGCATTTTGGGAAGTACACTTATTTGCATAGACTTTGCTGAGAAGATTAACACCACTCTCATGCCTCTGCATCTCAGCCTCTGCAGGACTGAGTCATGATCTGTTAGGTGACCGATAACAAGGAAAACAAGTGTGTATATTTTGTTAAAAAAAAAAAAAAAAAAAAAAAGTCAGTCAACATCACAATAGGATTTTTCAGTCAAAGTTGAATCAACAAAAATATGATGGGTTAATTTGCAGTGCCTGACCCATGGACTCCGATAGAACTCTCACTGTCGCCACGACCGTACCTTCTTTTATATTTTCCTTGGAGTCTTGTCATTGTAGTTAAGTTGCCAAGCAACCAGCAGAGACTACAGGAAGATCTTAATTTTTGATCTTATGAGGTGCTGGCAAGCAGAATTTGTTACCTTTGGACAGAGTAGGGCTGTACAAGACTCAGAATTATTCCAGTTGAAAAAGATTTCACTTTTCAATGCAAATATTTGATTATTCTTTTTTGTTATTGTTGTTTTCTCCCCCTGTATAAAGTTTTAAAGTGGCATTCACGTAAAATAGTGAACAAGCTAAGTGCCCTAATGACAGGTAGGAACTGTGCAACAATATTTTTTGCCGAGACTTGACATAAAACAAAAGTCTGTCTTCCTCTGTGCTCCCTGCAGCAGCCTGTACCAAAGAGTAGCGTGAAAGTCAAGAGCGCTCACTCTGCAGCAAAAACTGGGGCCCCTAACGTCCCCAGAAATACACTGCACAGCAAACTGAGCAGAACAAACAAACCAAAGCAAAAACAACAGCTCAACTTGAAGCAATCTCAGTTGACTGAGAGGTTCAAATCTCCGACTTTTAAAGGGCAGCGCCAGGCTAGCTGTGTCCCGGTTTCCAGTTTTTATGCTAAGCTAAGCTAGCTGGCTGCTGCATATCAAACAAACAGATGCAAGAGTGGTATCGATGTTCTCATCTAGCTCTCGACAACAAAGCGAATGAGCACATTTCCCAAAATGTTTTGCTTTAAGTTTCACATGGATGTGTTTATATGTGATTACTTTCACAGCATGGCACTCATCAACATATGGAGCCAATAGAAAGTTGATGCCGGTGGTTACTGTCAGCATATCTTTGATAAACATGACTTGTGCAAATGACTCTGCTTCCTCTTGATGCAAAAGCATTCAGGTGCTTTGCAAGTTTCACAAAACGAAGCAAATGTCAACATCATTAACATTCATGAATTCCAGCATTATGGATATTATCAGTAACACAGGTTAAATCCCATTCTTTTGACCCTGAGGCAGGTAGTGTGAATTCTTATCAGTCTCTGCTCAGGTAAAGCCTCAGCCTAGTCGCTGCCTTGGGCTGGTGTTTCTGCACCCTCCTCGGCGCTCTGCTCACTGGACTGCTGGCTGCTCTCCGGCTGCATGGCGCTCCTGATGGACTGCATGGCCTGAACCTGCTGGAGACGTACGTTCAGCTCAGCTTCGCAGGCCTGCAGCAGCTCAGACGTCCTCGTTCTGTCAAAGCCCAGCACCTGCTCCATGACTTCCACCCCTTTGGACACTACCATCTAAAGACACATGGAAGAGGTGTCATTTCAAAGACTGGAAATGTGAACATGTGAGACTTGATACTGACTTGTTGTTTTTAGACACACATGTACAAATTGATGCAATCCAATTAGGGATGCCATAGTGAGGAAATTTTTCCACTGGGTAATGAACTCATGACGAGACCAGTATTAGCGACTACATCGGACATTTTACAAGAAATATTATATTCACTGATTATGCTGAATTTCTGTAGACCGCCGTAATGAGTTTTGCCACTGCAAACCAAACATCATTAAAAGCATTTAACTGGCAAAAATCAAGTTGACTTTTATTATTAATCACTCACCAAGAGTGCAATGTCTTTGTCAGTGAGATTAGCACTACCGCTAATGTTCATCAAAAAAGCATCATCTAAACAAGACAGACATTTTTGGATTTTGACAGTGGATCAGTGAAATATTGCAGGAGCAGCTACAGTGAACTGTTAAATTAAGAGCTGCAGGCCACAGGCTGCACGCCCCCCAACTTCTTAGCGATGTAACCAACTCCTTTTCCCTTTCTAACATTATCAGGTTCTCTCTTAGCAGTGGGTTTTAATCTGAAATACTGCCAAATAGGTGCTTTTCCTTTTCACTTTGACATCAAATCCTCCGCCTCAGACTCAGACTCAGAAAACTTTATTGTCCCTTCAATTTACATGAGATGGAAAATCTTCTTTGGTACTGGCAAAAAGACAAACACCTCACACAAAACAGTGACAGACAGACAACTTCATAAACAGCAATATCAGTACTCTAAAATACACTGTACACACAACCTTAAAAGGTGTGGGTTAAAAGTAATTAAAAGCATTTATGTATTAAAAGCATATATGTGTGTCGTGTGAGCCAGGTAATGCAATTGATGTATGCTCGAACCCTCAGTAACATGGGTAATACTGACTACAGCAGCAAGCCTAAAGTCAATAAAATTCACAGAAATAGAATGAATAGAAATGACATTGAACTGTTTGCCCTGAGCATTTGACTAGTACAAAAGAAAATGGCCATTGTAAGTTGTGGTGACAACACACATCAGCGGGGCCATAAAGTGATTCACAATGACTAGTTTGAGAACTCAGTAGTGGAATATTCTTAAGCTTACTTTCCTTATTAAGCAGAGAAATAAAAAAACAAATACAAATTCAAGTTCCTGTCTTTCACCGAACTAAGGCTAATGTTCGCTTAACTGCCTTAACTCATCCTAAAACACACTTAATTCAAACTCAATACAAACAAAATAAAGCACAACTAAACCATCTAAGCTAGTCTTTTTAGTCATCTACTTAGTTAGTCCACTGTTGCAACAATCGCCAACTCTGGCTTGGTTGAAATAAATTCTAAATTCACTGAGTTGTGAAAACATGCTAATCTGTGCACGGTTTATCTGCGCTGTCTCTTTCTGCCTCTCACCTGTCCTTCAGAGGTAGCTACAGTACCATTACATCATGCTTCAACCAACATATGATCAATGGCAATAAAAAAACAAAATGAAACAGGCAAATAACAGTTACGGTAATACTTTCAAAGTAACAGAAAACCTCACTGAGTTTCCAACTTGCTGCAAGTTGGTTTGTTTATACAGTGGTTTATACAATTTCAAATGGCAACAATACACATAAAAATGGCCCCGCCCTGACGATCCTGCTACGTTGATTTGAATGGGAATGTCCGTTCTACTCTGACTCTATTTCTATGAATAAATCCTATCATTTGTGAAGCTGATAATGTTCGGGTTTTGTTGACACTGTGACAGATAAGGGCTGAGGGTGTAGTTAGTGGTGTGGGTGTACTGGACTGAATTACACTAATGTTTTGCCCTCTCTGTGTTTGTTAATGAGGGTGGATAAAATCTTACAGTTGAATTTAAGACAAAGTAAATGCCTTTCAGATTATATAACAGAGTCACTAATAAAGTACGGGTGTGTTGTGTCAGGACTTGCCATTTGACGTAATTGCTTCATAATTCTTATAGCTGCTTTCTAGAGTTGACTGGGTAAGTTACAGCATGAACTGCAGAAGTTCTGAGGCACACTGGATCAGTGGTGTGAGTGATTACCTGCAGATCCTCAGTGGAGAGTCTGGTCTCGGGGCTCGTTTTGCCTTTCAGGACCATCAGTGTCCTGGGCATGAATCCAGACGCAGAGTCCACCTCCATCCCATCCACCTCCGCATCTCCAGCCCCTGACACATTAAAATGGATTCTCTTTCAGGATCATTTGTTGTATAAGGGTATAGTTACAAAAAATCACTGCAGGAGCTGGGATTATTCAGCAGCAACAACGGTTCCACCTAGTGGCCAAAAGGCACAAGCACAGCTCTTCTCTTATGAGCCAAAGCTGTTGTTTTAAGGACAATTCTTCCTGTTTGATTCATTTTGTTGTCATGACTTCATGCTTTGCCACTCTGCACATTCAAAAACTAGCAGATGTGAATGTCTTAAAATATTTATCTACTGAATCTAATTATTAGGTCTTAAGGAAATACATATATAGATATTTATCAAGAATCATTTTTAGATTTCTCAATCCCCCAGAAATTCTTACAGTGCTAGCTTTACATGTTGATTAAGGGAGAACTGCGCCTATTTTCAAAATTCATACACATTATTCCTTTGGTCTAAGACTGTCCAAAAACATTAGTAAACATGAACAGTGCTTAAACTAAAATGTGTGATGTCATCAGGTGTAAAGTCCAGAGCTGCTCTATGGACAATAAATTAGGAAAGATGTTCTAGGTGTCACTGAGAGCACCCAGGGGAATGTTCTGAGTATATGAGGACAATTTCTGTTTCTGAAGTGAGAACACTACACTAGAATAAAGTTCATTTGGGTATAAACAAAAGAAAACAAAAAATATTTGGGTCAATAAAATCAGACTCCCATTCATTGTCTATGGAGCAGCTCCAGACTTTACACTTACTGACATCACAAGTTTGAGACTTACTTCTCTGGTTTCATATTCACAAATATTGATTGAACTTTCCTCGGCCATGGAAATAACATACTGGAAGTCTTAATTAAGGTGGTGTTCTCCTTTAAAGGTTTTATCACCAGTGCCCCTGACCCTTGCCTACAGAACATGCAGCTTTGGGGCCATTACCCACCTGCAGGGCTACACACACAGTCATCGGTTAATATTGATTATTCTGCTGAAGGTTGAACTTGTACTTATTGATCACAGCTGTTCATTTGATTTTGATAAGTCAGAGGAGGATATATAAGCCTCTGGTATTTTTTTTATATTAATCTAACAGCGATTTAATATTACATACAGTACAGGCCAAAAGTTTGGACACACCTTCTCATTCAATGCGTTTTCTTTATTTTCATGACTATTTACATTGTAGATTCTCACTGAAGGCATCAAAACTATGAATGAACACATGTGGAGTTATGTACTTAACAAAAAAAGGTGAAATAACTGAAAACATGTTTTATATTCTAGTTTCTTCAAAATAGCCACCCTTTGCTCTGATTACTGCTTTGCACACTCTTGGCATTCTCTCCATGAGCTTCAAGAGGTAGTCACCTGAAATGGTTTTCCAACAGTCTTGAAGGAGTTCCCAGAGGTGTTTAGCACTTGTTGGCCCCTTTGCCTTCACTCTGCGGTCCAGCTCACCCCAAACCATCTCGATTGGGTTCAGGTCCGGTGACTGTGGAGGCCAGGTCATCTGCCGCAGCACTCCATCACTCTCCTTCTTGGTCAAATAGCCCTTACACAGCCTGGAGGTGTGTTTGGGGTCATTGTCCTGTTGAAAAATAAATGATCGTCCAACTAAACGCAAACCGGATGGGATGGCATGTCGCTGCAGGATGCTGTGGTAGCCATGCTGGTTCAGTGTGCCTTCAATTTTGAATAAATCCCCAACAGTGTCACCAGCAAAACACCCCCACACCATCACACCTCCTCCTCCATGCTTCACAGTGGGAACCAGGCATGTGGAATCCATCCGTTCACCTTTTCTGCGTCTCACAAAGACACGGCGGTTGGAACCAAAGATCTCAAATTTGGACTCATCAGACCAAAGCACAGATTTCCACTGGTCTAATGTCCATTCCTTGTGTTTCTTGGCCCAAACAAATCTCTTCTGCTTGTTGCCTCTCCTTAGCAGTGGTTTCCTAGCAGCTATTTGACCATGAAGGCCTGATTGGCGCAGTCTCCTCTTAACAGTTGTTCTAGAGATGGGTCTGCTGCTAGAACTCTGTGTGGCATTCATCTGGTCTCTGATCTGAGCTGCTGTTAACTTGCGATTTCTGAGGCTGGTGACTCGGATGAACTTATCCTCAGAAGCAGAGGTGACTCTTGGTCTTCCTTTCCTGGGTCGGTCCTCATGTGTGCCAGTTTCGTTGTAGCGCTTGATGGTTTTTGCGACTCCACTTGGGGACACATTTAAAGTTTTTGCAATTTTCCGGACTGACTGACCTTCATTTCTTAAAGTAATGATGGCCACTCGTTTTTCTTTAGTTAGCTGATTGGTTCTTGCCATAATATGAATTTTAACAGTTGTCCAATAGGGCTGTCGGCTGTGTATTAACCTGACTTCTGCACAACACAACTGATGGTCCCAACCCCATTGATAAAGCAAGAAATTCCACTAATTAACCCTGATAAGGCACACCTGTGAAGTGGAAACCATTTCAGGTGACTACCTCTTGAAGCTCATGGAGAGAATGCCAAGAGTGTGCAAAGCAGTAATCAGAGCAAAGGGTGGCTATTTTGAAGAAACTAGAATATAAAACATGTTTTCAGTTATTTCACCTTTTTTGTTAAGTACATAACTCCACATGTGTTCATTCATAGTTTAGATGCCTTCAGTGAGAATCTACAATGTAAATAGTCATGAAAATAAAGAAAACGCATTGAATGAGAAGGTGTGTCCAAACTTTTGGCCTATACTGTACATTGACAAGTATTGTATTTCATGTCTCCATCTGCTGGTGGGCCATCACGATAAGAGTATGCATGTATAATGTGGTGTTAATTCCACTTCAGGAGAGACTTGATGATCACTAAAAATGAGTTGTTACATATCGGCATATTGGATATCGCCAAAAAATCCAATATCATGCATCCCTATTGTAATTTAATTTAAACTAAAAAAAATGAAAAAAGGATTAAAAGCAAATGACAGAGAAGAGATTATCACTGAAAAAGGCCATCAGAGCAAGACTCAGGGCCAGACACCAATGCCAGATATTACAGAGCATTTTTTATATGATCAACAGGCTTGTAGATAGGGCTACTTGAGACTTCATGTCAAAGACTATTGGCTCCTCAAGAGATGCTGTAATAGATTTTCAGAGGCAACTAGTATTGTTGTGCAATGCCCTCTTTCTTTAACCTGACTTAAATAAAAAAAAATTGACATAGTAAATATTGTGTTAGAAAGCCACAGTATAAACTATGAAAGCTCTTTAGAGGGTAAACCAAGAATTACACCACTAAACAATGATACAGCAGTACCTTCCTGGCTGGGCTGGCTTGGCTCCTCCTGTTTTCTGTCATCGTTCTCCGAAGCTTTGAGGTAGAGCTGGAGCAACTCCTTGGACTGCCTCTCTTCCTCTCGTCGGTCCAAAACCCTCTGCATGGTCTCCTGCAGGTCCTCGGCCTTCTTCTGTTGGAAGCCCAGGGCAGAGGCAAGCTCAGGGCTCGGGGCGTCCACTAAGGTCTGGAACACACAGTGACACACAGCAGTGAAACACTACAGCATGTCCATGTGGTGCCTCACACCAACAACAAATAAGGAAGCAAAATAAGGAGTAAACAAAAAGTAAAGCTAAAAGTAAAGTATATATTTTATTAAACATTACTCAAACAGGATTAAATAGTGCATTTGTTGGAGACTGTTTTTAGCTGCATATTAAGACACATTAGTGAGTAGTAATAAACAATATTGCCCATCTTACAAAAGGAACATATCACAAGATGTGACAGTGTGGTAAGCTTATGTGTTGTTGTTGTTTTTTTATAACAATGCAGGTCTGTGGTGTGACAACCCTCCCACTGTCTTGGAGGTTGTCTTGGTCAACCTCAGCACTCAACTGGCCGACACGTGAGGGTCATCAGTTGATCAGGCTCCCTGCAGCCCTTAAGCTACAAATGCTGGCCCATGTGCTCACTGTCTCACCCTTCCTACTGCTGGCATCCACCCTGCGTCATTAGGCTTGTTTGAGATGAGCTGCGGCTTGCCTTAATAGTCAACGAGAGTAACCGATTGCAATCAGAGGAGTCAGAAAGTGTGCCTCAAGTTAAACAGCTCTAAGTTAGCTTGAAGCAACTTGCAAAAGCGAAAGTAGCTGTAGAAGTACAATAGAAATCCCACTATTATTGTATGGAGTTGGGCATGATGAGCAGTCTGTGGCAGGATCAGTATGAATTTAAAAGTATGATACCATTTCCTGACTGATTGCTTCACTTTACAGATCGCTTGAATTGCGCAAAAAACATTTGACACTATTAGCTTGGGGTTTTTTTCGTAATAATTCAAAAACTACTTGAAGTGCAGAGATACAAAAAAAATAAATAAAATAAAATAAAAGCATAATAATAAAACTAAAATCAAGGATTTTCCAAACTGTGAAACTGAATGAGGCGCTTTTCAAAGTTTCAAGCTTGGAACGTCATTAGTCATGTGGTATTTGAGCTCTGACACAATGTATTGAAACATTGCACTTCACAGGAATGGAACAAGCTGCTGAGCTACGGTATCACTCGCCCATCTCTACGTAAATCTCATTCGTGGAATTCCTTTTTGAAACATTAAGTAGCCGTCCCGGATGCAAACCTGTTTGGTGGGGATAAATCTAGCCTAGTGACACATGAGGAGCAGCTGATTGCCATGTTGGTGACCAGTTTGGTTTGTAACCCTTGTGGTATGAGAATGCTGAAATGAGCTCCGGTGCTTTTTTATTAGTGTAGATGAAAGCGCCTCGAGTCCTTAGCGTTGTAGGTGAGATTTTGCTACAGCTCATGCTTTGCTGGGTTCGTGTGAGCTTTGTTGAATTGTTGTAGCTAAGTTTCTTCTTTGTGTTTGCGACCTGGGGTGATTAAGATGGCTACTGAGCCTTTACTTTAGAGAAAACTTTGGGCATGCCCTTTTGCTATGTACTTACTTTGTAATTCCAACTTTGTCTAATTGATAGTTGGGAGTTTGTGAAAATGGAGCACTGTGAGTTTGTTCTGTCTCACTGCAGGCCATGTGTTTTGTTACGCACTTGTGATGAACTCTGATGCTCATTCTGGAGATCAACATCTTGATGTGTACTTTGGGTCAAGGGTTGAACCTCATTTCCTGCTGACCATACCCCTCATTGTTCTATAATCCTTGCTTTCCTGTGTTCTGGCAAGAACGAAGTCAGGTTGTATAAGGTACTTATCTATAGACAGCGTTTTAAAAATAGTAGATGCTGGTCGGCACACCCTGCAGTTTGGAGAACCAGGCAGGATTACCAATACCAAAGTTGAGCAATGTGGTGCTGTGGATGGGAGCAGCAGCAATTGTAGCATTTTAGCTACCTAGAAAAAGTCCCATCTAAAAAAATCAATATCTGTTTAAGTGAACAGTATATTCATAATATTTACACTGCTTTTACTAGTTTGTAGTTTGTGTCTTACTGTGGGACTTGTGGACACTAAGAACAATACAGAATATTACCAGCCATATCCTTTAACGGGACAAAGATTAAAAAGTTGTTGGTGGCAACTGAGGAAAGTGATTTTCAGGTCGTACTACTTCCTTATCATTTCCTTACTAGTGCATGCTGGGATATGCATTACAGCAAACACTGTTGGTGAAACAGAGGAATGATGCTGGTACCTGTAAGTCTTCCTCAGACATGAGGATGATGCTGGTAAGGTCCTGCTTCAGCTGCTGAGCCAGGTGCCACCAGGGCGATGCAGCAGTGGAGGCGTCCACTGCATCGGCCCCCAGAATCATAGAATCCCTGGCCATCCAGGCTGTGCCACCATCCACTAAAATGAAACAGTAAATTAGCACCAAAACACAATGACATGCATTTCATATAGAAATTTTAAGAATCCATCCAGAATGCAGACAAATCTCAGATAGAATTGAACATACTTACTCCTGCGAGCTGGAGACCATGTCTCTTTTTCATGCAACAGCATGAACTTTGTGTTTAGAGGTAAACACAAAAAGTAGGCCTGATCCTGTACTATTGTCCCATCATCCTCTAGAACCACTGTGACCCCCTCATCGGGGCTGAACCCAAGAAACTCACATCCTGCGAAAAGAACAGAGAAATTACAGACCTCACCGAGCTTATACAAATATACTGAAAAAAGAAGTTTGATACTCTTTAGCAATACAGCCAAAACAATCGAAAAACCAGTCCCCAAGTCCTATACAAACTAAATATTTGAGGCAGTATCAGCTTACACACCACCTGATCATTTGAGGATTCAAACAAACACCAGTGTCTTCTGTTCTTCTGAAAACAAGTCAATCCATCTTAGTTGTCACCTCTTCTTTCATCACAGCTGCTCCTATTTGTCACTGCTGTTGAGTGGCTGTGCTTCTAACACCCTCTGTCAGCCTAACCTTAGGCTTGCCTTTTAAAAGCATGCATATTCCATGTGAGTGATGAATACATATTTCTACATCTTTACTGTGAAACATCCCAGTGACACAAATTAACCCCTTTATGGTTTCAGTTTCACAACTAATTTGTATTTTTATTGTATTTTTCTACTGTATATGCTCTCTATGTAGAGACCATTTGATTCAGTACTGTGTAATACCTGTAACAACACGTTTGTTTGTATTGTAACTTTATGCAAAAGGTCAAAATGGTGCATGTATGAATGGGAGTTTTCCAAGAAACAGCATTCCAGGTTTTGTGTCCTCTCCAGTTACAGGACTGCAACAAGATTAAAATATGTATCTGTACACCCAACATGTAGATGGTTTCAACAAATAGACTGCACAATCTTGACACTGTCCTTTTTGTATTTTGGATATATGAGAGTCCTTGAGGTGTGCATTGATCCGGGCACCGCCTGCTGACTAGCATGCCAGGAATGAGCAGGACAGGAGGGAGGTCTTGCCTGACTTTTCATGTTTAGTCCCTGCGAGTTTGGACACGATGGAAATGTTGCTACACTCAGCTCGTTCCTGAGCATGACAGATAAGCAGCAGGGCTGCCTGGAGGAAGAGATTTTGTATTTGAATAGGGCCTTTCTGTCTAAATAAAGGATAATTAAAAAGCATACTGCCAACGGCGGCATTTAGAGTGCTGAAGATCACTGTACATCATAACACTAAGTACACAAAACGTAACGTTACAGCACCGTTGCCATTTGAGTACTGCAAACTAACGGCTAAATACAGTGTCACATTACTCTTAACTTTTACCATACATTTCTATTAAACTTGCCATAAAATTATAACATTGCGGTCACAATTCATATAACGTTATATTCAAAAGTTAAAGCGAACTCACCTTTTGTCTTCAGCTCATCTAAAGACGGAACTACCAACCCGTATGATTTCTGTCGTGTAAAATTACACACCTTACACGGTTTCCTGTCTGCCATTCTGGCGTTATGAACAGAAGTGTTATTTTCTTATTTCTTTTTAATAATTTAAGCTGTCAAATTCAGACAGCTACCTCTCGTCTTCAGCAGTTTCGAACACGGAACCGCCGCGGTGGCTTTTTCTTCTTCTACTCCCTCTTTTAGGTTGAACAGCAGCTTGTGTCCTCGGTATTACACTATTGCCATCTGCTGGATGTAGTTAACTCCTACAAGTGTCTGGTGTTAGTTCTTTTGCCCTCTGGCCATCATTGGTACCTGTTCTTGGTGTTCTTGTTTTGGGGTGCTGTTGCTTTTGGTGTTATTATAGTTGTCACACAGTGAATTTCCAAAATGATTAATAAATATCCATCTATCTATCTGGCTACTTATGTTGTGCCTGCCGAGATTTGCATCCCCCTGTTGTTTCAGCCAGTATGAGTGGTGTATGAACACTCACACTGTCCAACCAAAATAGCACAAAAAAATGTTCTGGTCTTACCTCTAGAGCCAGCATTCCTTATACTGGGAAACACTCCAGAGGGTATAGACACTAAAAAACAGACAAATCTGCTTGGGGCCACCAACTGTCCAACAATGTAGCCTAGGGAAAGATTGAAGAGTGTATATAAGATAAGATAAGAGATAAGATACACTTTTATTGATCCCACAATTGAGAAATTCCAGTGTTACAGCAGTCAAGGGGAAAGAGTCAGATTAAAGATTTCAAAATTTAAAAACGTAAAACAAACTAGGCATGCAAAAAGAGTACAAAAATACAAGAAACAGCAATAAATAATAATAATAATAATAATAATAATGAGCAGAATTTGATGGAAAGCATAACAGCTGGGAGCTTATCTATGTTTCCAGGGTTCTATGTTTCCCAGGTTCTATGTTCCCCACTTAGACAAAAAAGGTTCTATGTTCCAACTTAACGCTGATGTTTTCAACATTAAGTGGACACCAGTAATACTACAGTTGCCAAGACTGATTAAGGACACAGCTTCTCCATAACCCCAGTAGAGAAGAGGAAGTTGGTCGATACTGTCAACATGCATCTGAAACCATAAATACTGATGTGTTTCTGAATGTGTAGAAGTACATGTATAGTGGCGATACATTGACAAGTGATTGAGGTGTTGCCTCTGTATATAACATGGACATGATAGGTTGATGCAAAGCTTGCATTTGTTATGTGACACACCGTGTTTGTTTGTTCTCTGATGTACATACTGACTACATTTGATTGAATTTGAAAATAAAATTCAAGAGGGAAATAAAATTGTGGTAGCACTGCTTGATCCCAGGGGTGTAAATATAGAGAGGTCAGTCAGGGCGGTTGTTCTGGTTATTCAGGTTATTCAGATTGCCACCTTAGATATATGCCTGTGTTAGAAAAAAGAAAAAAAACTCGCATTAAAAAAAATTATGCCATTTGCAAGGCTATATGCCTTTGAAAAGACAAATCCATTCCCATCATGGTTTCCTTTTTTTTTTGTAAAACAGTCAGTAGCAATCTATAACAAAATATGTTATAAAATATTTGCTTATTCTGCATAAACTATAAATGAGCTATAAAAATGGCGACTATTATTTCTGGGTAATATATATGTTGGTGTTGTCGAGTCTCCATTTGATCATGTGACGAGATGATAAGATTACACCGTAACTAGTTTAGGCACAAAAACAGTGACTACCATAGACAAGGCCCGTTATAATAGTGTGCACTGGGGCCCGTTCTAACTACCTGATGCCACCGCTTGATCTTCAAGTGACTGAAAAGGAACTTTAGAGGTGGATGCATTATTCGGCAACACTGCGTTTTTGTAGGCTGCCAGCAGAGAGTTGCATCCCTGTTATTTCAGCCAAGATGAATGTGAAATGTGGGACATTCCCATCGTCTAGCCAAAGACCAAAAATATAAGCTTGTAACACTGTTTGATGTCAAAGTGTCTGGAAATTACCTTAGAGGTGGATGCATCATTCTGCAAAACTGACTTGTGGGGAAGCAGTTCTCGGCAGGTGATAATCGGCTGAACTGATCAAATGCGATTATCAGCATATATTTTGGGCCATTTTGGCTCAGGAGTGAATTTCAAATATACATTTAATAACCACGTAAACTGAAATAACAGGCGATGCATTTCTCAGCAGCTAATCAGTTCCACCAAATAATTCAAAGACACTTCAAATCAAACTGTGACAGGAATCAAATGGTGTTATTAGTGCATACTTTATTTGACTGACATTGACAGAGTGAATCTTCCTACATTCATTTTTCCACACGTGAAAATCTCATGTTAGATTAACAGATTAAAACTGTCTGATGATTGAAAGCACAGTGGTATAGAACACCGAAGAGTTTGCATTACATTACAAACCATCATAGTAGCTGGTAGTCAAGTTTTCGCTGCAGGCTGTGTTGCAAGGTCCATGCAAATCTCAGGCAGGTACAACTCAGCATAACAGGTTTGGTTTAGTTTGTGCTCCCAACTCAAGTCAGTTAAGATGCAATACCACTATGGGTGCTAGATGTTGATCCAAAAACTTAAATACATTCACTTGTTGACTCTTTAACTACTCCCTACAGGTCTGTACAGAAAATTTCTAGAAACTTTACAAGTAAACCAACCGGTTTAGAGCATTTTAAAATAAAAATCTGAGATTGGGGTGCCATTTTAGGAAGCCAGACTTCACAGGAAAAGTGCACACACTATGACTTTTTCATGAACTTTTTTTTTAATGACATTTTTTAAGCATACTAACACTTTACAAAACTACAACAATCCACAGTGACCTAGTGTACATAACACCCATATTACATTCTAGTTTTCCACTTTTTAATGCATTTGAAAGTGATGAAAAAGAGACAGTGTTTGACATTGATTGTGCCTATCCACAACGGTCGAGCAATAGCTTCTGGTGGGGTACGGCAACACCACTCACACAAACCACACACAGAACTGCAGCAGACCTTAACAGGCTACCAGAACCAGTAGTAATAATAATGGCAGTTTGTTTATCTTATTTATAATTATGTTTACTTTATATTTGGGAGGACATTTGAGTAGCAATACGTCCAACCCAATATATAAAAACTGCCTTTGACTCGCTATATAATAACCAACCAATGGTGAACAGTAAATGGAAATTTCTGACACTAATTTTGCTTCATCACTGATAGCTGTAGCACAACCCTAATTTCATATCTGTAAATTGCATTGCAGTGTAGCCTTCATGACATGGGCACTTATCTTTGTCCTTATTGTTGATTTTTAGGGCACTATTAGGCACACCTGCACACTCAGAATTCAGAAAATGGTGGACAGTAAATAGGGAGTGATTTTTGACTCATCCTCTGTCTCCAAAGGAGGCTTGACTTGAAATGTGTCTGTCAGTCTCTCTAGGGAAATATAATGACAGCATTTTCTTTCCACAAGAACATTATGGCCACAGTAGCTACTAGATAATTTAGCATCTTTTAATGTGTCACTCGGTGGCGGTCATGAAGATTAATGTGCCATTATTATTACAGCTCAAACAGGGATATATCAGTCATACTGGCTTGATTGACAGGATTGTCTTGGAGTCGTCAGACTGCAAGGCGAGGCTGGATTATCCAATGGACAAATGGAACAACTAATCCAGGGCCTCAGGATCTTAAGGCTCCCAGACCTCAATGGCCCAATGGTTCCAGTTCCATTGCTTTTTTCTGTTGTTTTGATTAATTACAAATTCAGTCATTAATTTTCTGTACCTGCATATTCTGTTGGGGGTTGCAGGAGGGTGGAGCCTATTCCAGCTGACATTGGGTGAGAGGCAGAGTACACCCTGGACAGGCCGCCAGATTATCACAGGGCTGACACATAGAGACAGACAGCCATCCATGCTCACATTTACCAATAACCCTAAAGTGCATGTCTTTAGATTGTCGGAGAACCTGGAGAAAACCAAGTTGACAGGAGGAGGGCGAACAGAAGCAGGGGCTCCCCCACCCGGATTCAAATGCCAAGCTCTGGGTTCGAAGCAGGGACCCTTTTGATGTGAGGCAACATTAACCACAGATTTATGTTTGAAAATGCACCACAAAATATCTCCTGGTACAAAAAGCATCTTAAAGGTCCAGTGTACAGGATGTAGCGACATCTAGTGGTGAGATTGCAGAACTGAAACTTCTCTCGTTTTTTTTTTTTTTTTTTTTTACATTTTTTTATATACTTTATTAATCCCCCAGGGGAAATTAAATTTTTTCACTCTGTTGTCAATTACAATTACACACAGGTCCGAACACAAGCATGCACAAACAGGACCTATACATGCACTAAGTGGAGAGATGTCAGAGTGGGGCTGCCCATGACAGGTGCTCCGAGCGGTTGGGGGGTTCGGTGCCTTGCTCAAGGGCACTGCGGCAGTGCCCAGGAGGTGAACTGGCACCTCTCCAGCTACTAGTCCACAACTTGAACAGGCGACCCTCCGGTTCCCAACCCAAGTCCCTATGGACTGAGCTACTGCCCCCTCCTTTTCCAAGGAGAACTACAGTGGTTGATGCGAAAACACTAAAACAGGGAGAGGACCCACTCTGTATGTAGATTTAAACCGCTTATTATCAGGTTATGAAAACACAACATGTCTTTTTTTAGCCAATTATACACTAATGTAAACATAGTTATGAAGATTGTAGGCTATCATGTCAGCCAAAAGATGCCCCTGAATCCTAAATACAGGGGCCCTGTGCCCAAATATAGCCTAGTTTTACTTTTATTCTATTAATTACACATGGCCAATGAAGCTGATCGTGTTTCTGATCAATTTTTATTATTATATTATTATTATTATATGTAATAGTAGTATATTAGTAGTAGTAGTGGTAGTAGTAGTTTTAAGACTTTTATTAATTTGGGTGATATTGTGATTGTTGTAAAAATCTAATTAAACTTTCGTGTAAACTTTTCCTGTAAACTTAATGAGTAAAATCGTCTTTCTTTGATAAATATATGTAATATATGGCTTGTTGATATCCTTCAGGAAAAGCAGTCGAGTGAGGAACACTCGAGCAGCCTGTCAGCAAACGAGGAGGGATAGGAAGATGGCATCCACCGACCAACCTGACCCACCAACACAGGTC